GCATGTTTATTTGTTTATTTATTTGGTTATACATTTATTTATTCATGTTTTTATACATATTGCCAAATCGACATGTTGAGTCAAGAGTCGCAGCTACCCTTTCTCTCGCTCTCTTGCTCTGTGGCTTATTTAAACAGAGCTAAAACGGAAATGTAGCATTTGCTGCGTTTGTCGCTTGTTTCTCTGCTCACTTCTTGCGTTGACGTTTTCGCAGTCAGTGGTGGGCGTGGCAAGGTGGCAAACATGACGCAAATGGAGTGCAACGCAGTGCGAGCAACACGAGCCGAAATGACGCCAATAAAATTATGTCGCAGACGACTTTAAAAAATTCCATTAAACGAGAATTGCGAATTGCGAACTTGATTTGCTACGCTCGCCACTTTTAGCTTATTTATTTTATTTCATTTGATATTTCTAGCGGAATTTTCGCCAATTCCCATTTGTCAATTTTGAAATGTGCACAAATATTTTGATGCACAGGTAGAAATTGTTTTGTGCATAAAATACGCATACGCAGCGTGTGCCGCACATGAAAAGTTTGTCCCCCGTTGACTGTCCTTGTAGTTGCCGTTGTTGTTGTTGTTGTTGTTGTTGTTTGTCACCATTCGCAGTTTCACGAGATTTGTCTCTAGCGAGAAAACATAATTAATAGTCTCTTTTAATTCGGCCGCAAATGAAACGTTTAATAGCCGGCAATGCTCGAGCCAAGCAAACAGAGCGTCCCATTTCCTGTTCAACAATGCCAATGCGAGGCATTCGCTGTCTCTAGAAATTGCATATATTACTATTTATTATTATATTAAATATACCCTGTAATTACGTGTGCAAGCAAAGGTGTTTTCTTAAAGATGGAAATCTCTTTTATTTGATTCGCACGAACTCTGCAATTTATTCTAAATATAAATTTGTATCTTTACTCTCTCTCTCTCTCTTTCTTCCACTTTAGAATGTTATAATATTCAATAAAGATTTTGAATTAAATAGAGAATGTTTCTCCAGTTTGAATAAGTTATAAAATATTGTAATATCTGAGTTAGAATAGAAAGCAGGGAGAAATAGCTTGAACTATTCTTTCATATCGTTTGCTTAACATATTTACAGGGTATTTGCTAGTCACACACTTGCTGTTAAACAGCAATCCATTTGAAAATTCAATTTTGTTGCCTCAAAACTAAAGTCTGCTTGTGCCATAAAACAAACCCAAATTAACTTTAGCCGCATATCTAGCATAATATTTTATTGAAACGCTCGCTTGAACCGCAGCAAATCGAACGAAAAACACCACAGGAATCTACAAAGCAACAACAACAACAGCAAAAACAACAACAACAACAACAACAAAGGGCGTAATTTGAAACGCATAAAATTGTTTGGCCTACGGCCTGCAGCTTCAGCTTCAGCTTTTCAGCGCATTTTGCAGGGCTGCCGCCTTTGTCTTTTTATGCCCTGAACCCATTGAAACTGGCTAAAACCGGGTATATCGTTTCTGTGCAAATGTTTGCGACAGGCAGAAGAAAACATATTCGTGAGCTCGATCTGCAAGAAGAACTAAGTTGTTATAGCCTTGCCCGTCTGTCTGTCTGTCCGGAATATATCCTTGATATCCGCTGTATCTTTGATATCTCTCAATATGAAAATATCGTTAAATATCAATTTTGTGACATGTTTTTCAGCTTAGCTTGAAGATTATGAAAGCTAGATGCATCAAACTCTCTTTGCGGGCTCTCATGAAGCATAATTGGAAAATAATAGAGAATGGATGCACTAAACTTGATATGTAGGCTACCTTAGAGCATATTTGCAGATCAAGCATATTTCAGTTTTCTGATAAGTGTGTGTGTGTGTGTGTGTGTCGAGGACAGCTTGACGGACATTGGGTTTAGGGTATCTGCTTGTCGGCATTTATCGACTTGAGGCACTTTTGCTTGGCCCAATAGCTCCCTTAACAAGCCCCCCTCCCCACCAAACATTCGCTATTCTCGCCCCTTCTCCCTACGCCCTGCCCCGCCTCCTTTTTAGCCCACACTTGTATTGCGGCGCAATTTTATGGGCATTCATTTTGGTATTTGGGTCAGTTCAGCTCCAGCCTGCGCTCTGCTGCCTACAGCTGTGTGTGTGTGTGTGTGTGTGTGTGTGTGTGTCTAGTGTGTCTAGTGTGTGTGTGTTTGCATTGTGCCAAGCAATTTGCACAGCATAATCAAAGTCAGGCAGTGCCCAGTGCCGGAGCATGCGGCGTATACGCAACGTTTATTTTTAGCAAATTGTTTAACGACGTTTTTTTATTTATTCATTTAATTTGTTTTTTCTTTCTGCTCGTTTTTCATTTTGTTTTCTGCTCTCAGTTTAGGCACAATTAAGTTGCGATTTATGCGAAAATCGAGCGTCTGCTTAGAAACGCGAAGCATTCGAATAATAAAGCGGAAAACTCCGAAACTCTTGTGGGGCGAAATGAAAATGAAGCGGATGCTGGCTGTGATAAAGAATAAATGCATTTAGTTTTTGCTACCTTTTGTTTTGGCTTCTTTTGTGGCTTATGCAATCTGCAAGTGGCGGCCACTTGTCAACGCGAGAAGAACGCGAAATTCGCGAAATCATTTTTAATGTACGTGACGAAATCTGATTTCAATGCAGGCCAAGACAAATACAAGCGCACACGTATACAGTTTGATATATGCACATATATATATATAAGCATGATATATATATATATAGGTATAGGGGCTATATATACGCTAGATGGCACAAGTAGCTGCAGCCAAATGCAATTTATCAACAGTTGGGCTTAAATTGTCTGCAGCGTTACGGAAAAATGATCAAGCGAAGGATGCGAGGGAGTCTCTCTCTGTGTGTGTGTGTGTGTGTGTGTGCTGTTAGCTCTGGCGTTAAATTCTCTAATAAGTGCAAATTGACAACGACAACAACAGCAGCAACAACAACAACAACAATGTTGCATGCGGCCTTTTGCATTTTAATTGAATTCTTGCTCGAGAGCTTGTAAGCAATTGCGTCTATAAAGTATTCTATCGAACGGGAAGTCAAATGCCGAACGTGGCGGCTTTAGCAATGAGATATATATATGTATATGGTATATAGTACAGATATATGTATATATATTCAGCAACTGTTGGCCCGCAGCTGAGCACGTTGCCAGCTGTGTTTCTTGATAGGCAACCGAGCTTTGTTTTCAATTATCTAGTATTATTATTTCGCTTTGTTCTTTTTCTTTTTGTGCTTTATATGTTCTCGATTGCCTAGCGATGGCATAACGGTTAAGATAGTAGCGCAGCTCTGCTATAAAACAAATAAACTTGGCTCAAAACAATTGAGTTCCAGGAAATGAATTAAGCGAAGCGACAGGGAAATATTGTGCAGAAATTTTTTGCATTTGCAAAAATGAAATTCCGAAAAATAAACTTAAAACAAGTTTTTCGAATATTAAATTATAATATATATATAGTTATATTTAGAGAGTTGAATTTAAGTTTTCTTCTATTTTCATAAAGTTTATATAATTTTTATTGCTTAGCTATTGATTTATGTTTATTACTCAAAGTCTTTCGTGACAGTTTTTAATGGCATTTAAATTATATTATGCTCTAAGAGAATCCATTCAATTGTCTGATATATATATGCATATAGACAGCCACATAAGCCCTATCTCTGGACATTCTTCTAATAGCTGTAATGCCAGCCGCAATTGCCCTTGCATAATTCCTATGGCACAAGCACTTACTTAACTCACATCCCCAATTAACCTGCCTTATCTAGCTCGCTATTATCACTTTGCTACACACACACAGACACAGACACACACTCGCACACACTTGACATCAATTTGGGGCAGCAAAAATATTGACAAACATTTCGAGTGAGCGTTTTACATAACCAAAACATAACATAAACATGGATAACACTCGAACAACAACAACAACATCATTCATGTAGCTCATTGTATGTTGCATGTTGCATGCGGCAACAAAATGCAAATCTTGCAGCCGCGGCTGGCGATGAGCAGCGGCTGCATTTGGCTATTGGCTGATATGTAATCATTTTTGCGACAATTTGTTTAGCAATTGCAGCAACAACAACAAAACACAAGAGGGCCAACAAACACATACGCAACACATTTATTGACAACTACGTAGCTAGCGCTGTTTGTTGTTGCGCTTGTTTTTATGTTGCGTAATGTTAGGCTACATAATCGCGTTTTTTTAACAGACGCGTCAGCAGCTGCTGCTCGCCGCTCTTAACAGTTAACAGCGTAAGAGCGCGCGCATGCCAAAGAGTTTACATTGTAAATTGCAAATGCTCACGCTCTTAAAAATGTTAACGCGTGCTGCTTAAATGTTGCCAGCAACATGTCATGTTAATTTCGCTAGCAACATTTTCAGCAAGCACAGCTGTTAAAGTATTGCATCTATGAGCTATGTTAATGTTGTTCTTGTGCTTTAAAGAGTTGTGCTCTAGTCAAATATGCACCAACCAATCTGCATGCAGGCGCGTGCCATGCATTAACAGCGTCTGTTAGCTGGCACTGTTAATGTTAAGCTGCAGTCTGCAGCGCCGTTTGCATTAGCGTCTGCAGCGAACGTCAACGTCAGCGTCGACAGCGAACTAATTGTAGAATTTGTGCGCGTGTTGGCCGTCGCCTCACTGGTGGGCGGATGGGTGGGTGGCTGGGTTTGGTTGGCTGGCTGGTCGGTTGGTTTGTTTTGGCTGCTGAGGTAAACACACATGCATATATATGTATATGCATATATAATTGGCTAACAAGTGCTTGCCAAGCGATCGCGCCTCCATAACATGTTGACGAGCGGCGTCTTTTTGACATTTTCATTTACAATAGCTGACATTAAGTGTGTGATTTTCACAATTTTCATGATTTTCCTGATTTTCATGTGTTTTACAGCACAGCAATTAAGCGGCAATTAGCAAATGGTTCTGATTTTCCTCAACTTATTTTCTAATAATTTTCTTTGGTTTTTCCTTTGCCTTTGCAGCGCCGAGCAACTTCAAGAGTCTCTGTCTGCGCGCCGAGGTGCTGCTCAAGCTGAGCCACTATCAAAGCTCCCTGGCGGACATTGAGAATGCGCTGCGCACGCGCTGCACTTCACCCAAGGTATGCTACTTTTCGAGTACAGTGAATAGACGCTATAATGAATTCTCTTGTGACAGGCACACTATTTGCGCGCCTTGGCGCTGAGCGGCTTGGGCCGACTGGAGGATGCCCTGTACAATGGCTTTCTGGCCATTTGCCTGGACAGAAACACAAATCTCAGCAACTCGGAAATCTTTCAACATGATCTCGCCAAGGTGTGTGCGCCTATATAAAAGGCTGGCATGATCAACTTTTGCTCAACTCTTTGGCCTTTTCAGATACTGCAACGTCTCCTGGCCCAAACGCCCAAAAGTCGCGCAGCGATTGACTCGCTGCCGCCGTCGGCTGCGCAGCTGCAGCGCAGCTATGCGGTCGCCGCCAAACCGCCGTACGCGCTGCTCTGGGAGCAGATGCGGCGGCGCAGGAAACAGCATCATCATGTGCATCTGGACGATGTTGAGGATGAGTTCGGCCTGAGCTGCGAGAAGGACTACGATAACTATATCATGGCCGACGAGGAGGAGGTCGAGGTGGAAGTGGAGGAGGAGGAGGAGGCAGCGGCGGCAGCGGCGGCGGCGGAAGAGGCACAGCTGCAAATGGACGGTGACTTTCTGTTCCCCAGCGCCCTCGACTATATCGATCCGCGCAACGTCTATGAGCAGCTGCACAGCGCCAAGCAGTTCGAGCTGCAGGCGCGTCGGCATGCCAATCGCAAGCATTGCCGCAGAAAATGGGCCGCGGCACAGGCGGCGGGGCAGCTGCCACATGTGGCAGCCGGCTGCGAGACGCGACGCTGCAGCCGCTTGCTGAGCGGCGTGCTCGAGCGCACGCAGCAGGAGATGCAGCGACTGAGAAGTGAGTTGGGCTTATAGCTTATGCTGAGCTAAATCTCTATTTAAATCTCTCTACTATCTGTTGCAGAGCTGGATGGGTCGGAGCAGCGGCAGCTGACCGCCGTTGGGGGCCAGCTGATCGATGCGAGCGACTTTGATTGCGTGCTGTGCTGCCGGACGCTGTGGAAGCCGGTGGTGACGCCGTGTGGACACACCTACTGTCTGGTATGCTTGGATCGTTGCATGGATTACAACTCCTCGTGTCCATTGTGCATGTCACCACTTGTGGAACTAAATGTCAATAATAATCTGTATCAGGGCTCATCCTCGCCAGTACCCTTTGCGCTGGCCAAGCGGCCAGTTACGAAATTCCTAGAAGCCGCAATGAAACGATTCATTCCAGACCACTACGAGGCGCGCTTTCGCCAGGAAATCGATCAGGAGCCCTCGGTGCCGGTATTCATCTGCACCGCGGCCTTCCCATCGGTACCCTGTCCGCTGTTCGTCTGTGATCCCCGCTACCGGCTGATGGTGCGGCGTGCCCTCGAGTCCGGCGACAAGACGTTCGGCATTGTCCAGCCGCACAGCGGCAAGTCCCGATACTATGATGTCGGCACCATATTGGACATAAGGGATTGTGTCCTGCTCGGCGACGGTTGCTCCATACTGAGCACCATTGGTTGCAAGCGCTTCAAGATACTCGCGCGCAGCGAAAAGGATGGCTACGAGACGGCCAAGGTGGAGTACATATGCGATGAGCCGATTGCCATCGATCAGGTTCAATCCGTGGCCGCGATGCAGTCCCTGGTGCTGGCCAAGGCGACCGGCTGGTTCGAGAGCCTCAGCACCGAGCAAAAGCACGAGATACTCCAGAGCTATGGCCAGATGCCGCCGCTCGAGCACAGCTGGCAGCTGATCGCAGACGGGCCCGCCTGGGCCTGGTGGATCATTGCCCTGCTGCCGCTCTCCCAGCAGCTGAAGGTACATAGCCTCAACTATTGATCCTTGTTTGAGCTACAGCTTATATTGTTTTCTTTCATTTTGCAGGTGGACATACTGGGCACCACGTCGCTGAAAAAGCGTCTGCGCGCCATTGACAAGACGCTCGACTATCTGCGGGAACTGAGTCAGCCGCAGCCGCAGCAGCAGGCGCCGCAGCAGTCGCCGCAACAGCCGCACGATCTCAGCCTGGACTGCGAGGAGCAGGTCGCCGACGAAGCCGCAGCCGGTGTCGGTGTGGACGAGTGCTGCCTGTACGGCGAGTCGCACACCGACGAGGAGTTGCTGCTGTAGTGCAGCCCGCCTAGCTGTAGCTCTAGCAGTAGCAGTAGCTGTAGCAGTAGCTGTAGCAGTAGCTGTAGCAGTAGCTGTAGTTGTAGTAGTTGTAGTGAGTGTGAAAAGCGTTTCTCAATATGGTTAAAGCGAGCGTAAATTCTGTGTCTAAGCCATTCGTATTACACGTTACTGTTATCCTAGGGGCCAAAACGAAAGATATAATAACTTAGCAGAACCAAATTATCAGTAGACGAAACTGTAACTGTAACTTAGAACTGTAAACTCTAAACTGTAAACTGTAGCTATAAAATGTAAACTGAAAACTGTAAGCTTTACAGATGTTAACTGAAAACTGTAAACTTCAAAAGTGTAAACTGAAAACTTTAAGCTGTAAACTGAATGTGTGTAAAAGTTGAACTCAATGTGTAGCTTATGAGAGAGATTTATAGCAATTATCTATAAGTATGTATATATAATACACATACAATCAAAAGTCGCCCCTAACAATCTAGAGAGCCCCCTAATTTCTTGTTGAAACCAAACAAAAAAAAAAACCGAAAACAAAAACGAACCACATTCCACAAAATGAAAAAGAACATAAATCTTTGTACAGCAAATACTTCTCTGCAGCAAAAAGTATCTTCAACAACAACAACAACTCATGGTTTCTACAACAAAACACACAAATTTTAAAAATAAATTAAACAACAAACAATACCAAAACTTTGTAAAGGCCAACAACATACACTACAAAAAAAAAAAGAAAAAAAAAGAGAAGTAGTTAAAGAAAACTCGACTCAAATGAAAAAATTGCAACTTTTCTGAAGAAAAACTGAATATAAGAAGAAGAGCAGAGAAAACTCTTTAGAGAGTATTTCTTGATTTATTTAAGTATAAGCGGCTGGAACTATAAGACAATCTGCAACATTTTTTTTCTTATTTTGTATGACTAAAAAAAGAAAATATAACTAAATAAAAATGAATAAATAAATGAGGAACGAGGAGCAGCTCATAACTAGCGTGTAGTTAGAATTCATGTGGAAAATGCAATTTAATTTTCTTCTGTTAGCTTTCAATTTATAAGTCAACTTTTCCCGCTACTCTCTCTGTCTCTATAAACACAAGCACTGTCTCTCTCTCTCTCTCTCTATCTCTCTCAGTACATGTTTTAATTAAGCTATGATATGCGTACTATCCAAATTATATATATATATATATATCATATGTATGCTCACCTATATACCCATATATATGTATATATATAAATGTATGTGTATGCCAATCAAAAGGGATTGACCGGCTAATGCTAATGCTCTTTTTCTGTATTTGTATCTGTAACAAACTTATTATATATATATTTAAACTGTATCTGTATCTGTATCTAAAGTCCGCATTCCTATAAACGAAACACACAAACACACACACTCACACACACAAACTTTAAATAGTTATTAAATTAATTTAATTAGCCTTAAGCCTCATCAAGCCTCATTCAATTTTTGTATTGTAAAGCAAATCAATTTTAAAAACAACAATTTGCTTTGCCAGTCAGCTCACATCAACCGATACATAAACATATATATACATATATATATATATACATATATATATATATATATAGATATATATGTGAAATTGTATATAGTTAGGACTTTGTTGAACCACGCCTTATAAAGCATAAACAAGCATATTTCTTATATGATCACGAATTTAATTTTTAGCACACACACACACAGACACACATTTAGCAATTAGCTATGTAATTTTATACATAATATAATTAATCATTTTTGTCGGCTAAGTTTTGAAATATTCAACATAATTTGTAAACGTTTTTTGTGTCTAATTTATAACGAAAAGAGTAAAAACAGTAAAAACAAAAAAACGAAAAAAAATATCTAAAAAATAAATGAATATCTGAATATATAAATATGATATGATCTATGATAAAGTTCTATGTGTGTGCAACAAATTTTTGACTCGTATTTCTTTTCTTTTTATTCGAATGTCCAATAAAACGAAATTTACAAAACAAAACGGAAACACTCCAATTAAAATCTAGTTTTACAGTTTCATTGTGGTTTTTCTTTTACGCCTAATGATATTGCAATTCCATTCGCAACTAGCCTTCGGCTGCACTTTGAGTTCAACGATACCAAAACTTCAATAGATCTCAGTTCAGGCATACGATTTACTGGCAAAGCTCTATAAATATTTAACACTTGCTCCGATCTGTTTCCATCTTACCATATGCAATTTCAATATATCCTGTCTTGCATAAAATGCATAAGACCTCAAAACACAAAACTACTCTCGCAGTGCACTCTATGCTAATTCCTGGAATTACGTAAGCATATTATAAATACGAAATTTATTGAGCCAAATCTGGCAAATGCAAGTCGAGTCACTCGTGAATTTGAATCAATTAATTGATATCCCACAACAGTTCAGTCAACAAATCCGTGAATCTCCAGAGGTTAAAAACCAAGTTTCTTTCTGCTCTTATAACTCTGTCGATTTACGATCTGAGCTCCGCATATGAAATATTCATAGCACAGATTTGCTTACGCATAAATACATAGAAGATATAGAGCATACATTTCATTTGTGAAGTATTCTTTTGCAAAAGTGAAAAAAGCGTGATTCCAAATATATAAAACAGGTGATAAAACTCATCAAAGCTCTGCATAAAATTTCATTAAGAACAGTTTTTGCAACAGTTGGCAAATCCACTCCACTAAGTAGAATTTTTATTGCTGAACAAGTTTCATTTTTGATTCCATCGTTGTCTGAAATCTTTGTAATATGTTAGAAATGTCAAAAATCTACTCCAATATATGCAAGTAGGTTAAAAGGACGTCGTAACCGATTTAAATTTGTTCATAGCAAGAAACGGATGTAAAAGTGATGTACGCTTTTTAAGAATGTGTGCGAGAATGTATTTATGTGTGTATGTGTATGTATATGACATATATGAACACATACATACATGTCTACACATCTGTCTTTATATGGCTCAAAATGCGGACCAAGTTTTAAAAAAATTAAAATAAAACGTATTTTTGACTACTGCCCTACTACTCGATTCTCATAAATTCAAGTAAGCCGCGCAGATGTCATGCTTCAATTTAAAGTGTGCCGCCTGTGTGTGTGTGTGTTGTTGTCTAGTTAGCTTTCTGTTTGCTTGCATGTGTACTAGTGGAAAGTATGTATGCCGATTTGTATGTAGTTTTGTATGTACATATGTATATATATATATATATATATATATTATGTATGTATGACTTAATGCATGAAATATGAATTTATGTAAGTATGTGTGAATGTGTGTGTATGCATGTATGTATGGATGTATGCATGTATATACATGTAAGTATGTATGCATGTATCATATATATAAGTATGAATTTGTCTAAACATGTACCTAAATTTAAAGAAAACGTATTTTTGACTACTGCCCTACTACTCGATTCTCATAAATTCAAGTAAGCTTCGGAGATTTCATGCTTAAATTTAAAGTGTGCCGCTTGTATGTGTGTGTGTTGTTGATAGTTTGGTTGGTTGGTTGTCTGGTTGCTTGCATGTGTACTAGTATGTAAGTATGTATGCAGGCTTGTATGTAGTTTTGTATGTACATATGTATGTATATACATATGTATGTTATTATGTATGTTTGTATGACTCTTTGAATGTATGCATGTATATATGAATATATGTAAGTATGTATGAATGTGTGTGTATGCATGTATGTATGTATGTATATATATGTAAGTAAGTATGTATGTATTATGTACATATGTCACTCTAATTTAATGTCTTGCTGTCTAGCCCTTTCTCTCGCCTTCTTTCTCGCTCTCACTTATTCCTCTCGCTTCTTCCTTCTCTGTACATATTGTTTTCTAATTTCTCGCTTCTTCCTTCTCTCTACATATTGTTGTCCCCCCTCTACTAATGATGGCAATAAAATAATAGTGATAATAGAACTTAAGGGTAAGTTAATATTTATTAATTATTTTGGAACTTGAACATTGTTTTATAACTGTCAGCATATTAAGCTATTAATTTTAGTATTAAATTTAAGACCACAGATGAGCTGTAATTGATCCTAACTATATACATATCAATACGATACACGTTTCCTAAAAGTAATTCCAGTCTCGCTGACAACAGCTGAACCCTCTCTGCATCCAATTATAGGGTCAGAGTCAAAGGGTATGATTAGTCTGTCAATGCCGAACGAAGTGCATATAATTATAAGTTCGAACTTGTCTTAATGTACAGCAAGAAAAGCAAATCATAGCAGACCTTGAAGCACCCTACCCCCAACTCAACGCGACAATAAACAAGACAAACAAATCGCAAGACAAACCGGAAACGGCAAACCCAACACGTGCAGAGCTGCGCTCAGTGGGGGGCAGCGGCACACGAGTCCCGAGTGGCATGTCACAAACAGAGCAACGTCTCCTTGCCACTGCATGCGAGACCCTGCGCCCTGCTGATAACCCAAAGGCAGCTGTAAATGCGACAGATAAAGCCAAAGGCAGGCAGGTTGCTGCTTGCGTCGCTGCCAGCGTCGACGTCGACATCGCTGTCGACGTCGCTGCCGACGATCGCTGAGTGGGGCTTTCGCCGAGCGAGCTGCCCGCTGCTGTTGGCGTAATATTAAATAATAGCCGGGTCGACGCGACGCGATGCGACGCTCGCAAATGCCAGCTAATGCGGAGAAGGCGCGCATATCGCGTATACGCCCCGTGCGGCAGCGAGTGCCGGCTAGCGAAGCGAATGCCAAAGCAACACGACAAAAGTGCACGTATGTGTGTGTGTGAGTGAGTGAGTGTGGTTGTGTGTGTATGTATGTGTGTGAGTGATGAGAACATGTATTTATTTGTATGGGCAGCGCTCGCTGCATTTCGCGCTCGCTCGACGTTTATCCACACACACAGAAAATGCATTTTTTTATACATTTTTTAAAATTTTATTTCTTGCTGCTGTTGTTGTTGGGAGCGCGTCGCAGCTTAGAAATTGCAATTCTCGTTTCTCGTGGCGTCGGCGAGAATTTGGGGCCTTTTTCTTTCAGTTAGATTTTGACACGCGCAGCGACAACGAGCGTCAAACGCGCGTCTCTCCCCAATACCCAGCACCCAGTTGCACAGCGGCGTCTACTGCAGCGAGTCGGCGAGGCGTCGGGCGCCAAGCTCGAGGCGCCAATTCAAGCGGTTTCTTCGGCCAAACGTAGCGCATACCACACATTATCTCTATAAATATATGAATGTATGATAAATCAGATATCGCTTCGAACCTCGTCTATCGGCGGATTTGCTTTAGTCTAATATGCGATTCGTATTGTGTCTAACTTACTCTGACTTACAGCTGTAACTCGATCGTAAATTACACGCGCTCGTTTTGCCTGGCTTACGAGTGGCTCAGTGTGTGTGTGCGCGCGTGTGTGTGTGTGTGTGAATGCTGCGACAACTCTGTTTCCTGCTTCCTGTTTCCTTTGCTGAGCTGCATCTTATATTAAAAAAACCCAATTTAAAACTAAGTAGCTGCAAAATAAAAAATATTTAAAAATAAATAAATAACAAATTTGAAAAGAGCTACTCAAATACAATTAAAGAAAAATAATACTTAATGCTCTTTTGCTGCTTTCTTTTTGAGACATGTGCGCACACGAAACTGGCAAAAAGCAAAGTAAACAAAAGCGCAAAAAGCCAGCGCCAATAATATTATATAATTTTTAAACATTTGTAAAAAAGCTCATTTAATAAAAAATGAAAACATAAACAAACTTGTTAAGTTTTTGAGTGCTTTAACCAATTATTTGTTATTCTTGTGAAAAATTCAAAATTTAACAATTGAAAAAAACAAAATCAATTTAAAATAAAATAATAATAATAAATAAATAAATAATTGTCAAGCTGTAAGTAAATAAATTAATAAATAAAATAAGGGAATTAAAAATAAATATTCTAATTGAAAAACTAGTGTGTGCCCGAAGTGTGTAAATAAAAGCGCAAATGAATAAAGAAAATGTAATGCAAGTGCTTAAGCATAATTAACATCGTGCTAAAAAGTAAATAAATAGGCAGATACGAACGCGAATGGTGTGAGGCGAACAAGCAAAGAAACAGGAACGAAAGCCAAAACCAATAAAAAGTGCATTCAACCAAAAATGTTCTACGTATGCGGCGCACATTAGAGAGAGAGAGAGAGAGAGAGCACTACACGGCAGTTTAAAGATGCCAGCGAAATTAATAACGGACAAACAACACGTTAAAAAATGTATATAATGCAACACTGGAAATATAAGGATTTTTAATAAAAATACAACACTGGAAAATAAATTGAATAAAATAAAAAGTAGAAATAACAGTTTAAGAAAGTGAAAATTAAATTAATAATATGCAACAGACAAGCAACAAAAAAGAAATTAAAGAAAATTAATATATTAATAAAATATACTCATAATTGACATGTGCATAAATAGTATATTAGGAAATGCACAAGTTGAAAATGCAACACTAGAAATATATCATATTAATATGAATATGAAAAACTTAATAAGCAAAGAAAATAATGCAACACTGAAAAAATTAATAATTTAAATAATAATATGTTTGTATTTCCATATAAAAGAACAAGCGACAGCTAAAAGATGCGGAATTAATGCAACACCTAAAATATATATATATTTATATTTAAATATATATTTCATAATAAAATAATGCAACACTGGTCACACAATAGACTAAAAGGGAAAAATAATATTGAGTTTCTTTCAAGTATTTCTCATTTTATTTTGAATTGTATTTTTTGTTGTCAAAGTCGCTTTCTGCAGGCTGCGGGTCGCGGTTCGCGATTCGCGGGCTGCTCGGTTGAGCTCAGCGTGTGGTGGGGCTGGGGCCGCGTTTGCCGGGGCGGTGGGGGAGGCGGGGCTCTGTGTCAGGTTTGAGTAGCGTCTTTTTGAAACGTCATCGTCAGCGTTTGAGCGTCGTGTCGCGTCGACTGTCTACACAGGTGCATGCATGTGTGTGTCTGTCTGTGTGTCTGTGTGTCTTACCCTGTGTGTTTCACTGTGTGAGTGCGCGTGTGCATTCTGCATTGGTGTGCATGATTCTTGTGAGTGTGTGTGTGCGTGTGCGTGTGTGTGTGATCATGCGCCAGGCAGCTAAAATGCCAGCGTAAAATCATTTCAATTGACAACTTATAAATTTTAAACTAATATGTTACAACTCTTTGTGAAAGACAGACCGAGCGAGAGAGAAGGAGTGCGAGAGGGAGGGAGAGGGGGTATCTTGATTCTTGCCAATCAATTCTTAAATATGACATTACGCAGCTTCAAAATACAATTTCTGTGATCTTTGATAAAAATATAAAATACGAATTGCAAAATAGATCTTAAGCTCAAACGTTTAAAATCTATATTTATCTCATAGAAATGCATACATCATACAGGCAGAGCCCAACTGGATTTTCTATAGCGCTTTAATTGCAGCAATTACAATAAAATAAGTATATATATTAGCAACAAGATACTCGAAAGGCTTTGCCAGCGAAGAGATAAGCGATTTGTGTCTCATGTTGGAAGAGCAATAGTTGGAAAAGAATAAGGCGAAGCGAATTGCTTTGTCTAAGATTAAACAAAACATTAACTGCAAATTTAATTAATTATTCCTTCAGACTTACTTGAAAATCATTGTTTAATTGTTGTTAAATCAAAAACTAATCAATTCAAATAATGGTGAGCGGCAAGAAAAGGCACAGCACATCCGCTTCGCATGTCGAGCTGCAAGATGAGCACTCCACAGGTGGAGTATCTGATTCGTAGATCGATTACTTCCCAGCATTGGAATAGTGCATAAGATACTATATATTCAAATAAGCGACTAACTTAAGGGCTGGCCATGGGACTTGGGCTGAGAAATAGAAATGAAATGGAACTCCTTAGGTAGCTACCTTAATTATACCCTTAACTGTCTATACAGGTGTATACAAAAAAAAAATGTCGTTGTTAACACATATGAAACCGAACAAAACGGGAATCTAAATAAATCAATGAATGACAGACAATTGGCTAATGATAAAAATAAAGCAGCAGCAAAATAGGAAACAATTTAATTAAGTCAAGTTTAAAACAACAACAAACGCGAAGAGAGCGAATGAAAGAGCGCCAGTTATGTGTCCGTGTGTGTGTGTGTGTGTGTGTGTTTGTGCAGAGCAAGCTGCTCAACTGTGCCGTGCAGTGCGAGTGAAACAAAAAATATTACAAAAGTCGCAAAGCTTTAAAAAAAAGGCGGACCACAGCAAAACAAAACACGAGGACAGGGGCTGTGCGGGCGCAGACGGCGCGGTATTATCACACACAGCACACATCAACTTAGACACACACGCACACTGTTGCGCTATGCTGTAATCGCAATGCAATTAGCAGAGCCAGCAAAAGCTCAAGTTCACTGACAAAGAAATCAAACACTGTCACAAGCGCGCACACGACACACACACACACGCACGCACACAGGCAGAACAACTATGCGATAATTTGCGGACTGAGCGAAGCTTTAGAAATGCAATCAAATGACGTTAGCTGCAAGCGCGCGAGAGAGCAAGTCTACGCGAGCCGGAGAGAAAGAGAGAGAGCGCGGCAAAGAGAGCTTTTGCATGACTAGGTCAGTCAACGATCTTGCGGCTGCAGTTGGCAACCGGCTTTACGAGCTTTCTGCTTCCGCATTGCAAAAAAAAAAGAGATACAATAACAAAACGTTTATCAATGCCAAATGAGCATAGAAAAAATGTTGTCTGCTTGGCTGTGTGTGAGTGTGTGTGTGCTGGTGGGGGGAGTAGAGGCTCGGGTTTGCGGCATGTAATTGTCGCAAGCTTTTCTAACTATTTGTTTTGTTTACATTAAGCTACATTCGGAATGGTTTATTATGCAATTGAATTGCGTTGAAGTGCAGCCAAATGATACGTGAATAGCTGTCACTTTTGTGTATTGGATTTATTGTATCTATTTCTAGATCAGCTTGTAGAAGTTGGGAATTTCTAAGAATAGGCATGAAAACCTATTACAGACTATAATTATTAATTGGTTTGACTAATTGAACTGACAATGTTTCTTTAATATTATTTTCGCTTTATTGGTCTAAGCAAATAAACCTTTTATTAATTATTGAATAATTATATTTAATATTAATTTATTTCAAGGTGAGGCCACATTTAGTCCTTAAACTATGTTGTTTTATATTAGTTTCTATTGGATATCTTTCTGGAGTTCTTAAGTATGTCCCTGAACTGTTTCTGTCCATCTCCGTCCCTCTCACTCTCTCTCTCTCTCTCTCTCTCTCTTTATCTCACTCTCTTATTTCTATACTTTTCTTTTTGATTAGTCAAATCTTATTAAGCGAAAGAAAGAATCTTACAAAGTAGAAGTCATAGTAAATATTGTTGTAAAATTTGAGACATGTCCTCTCTATTATTTGCTCTTTCTACATCTCAATTCCCTTCATTTCTCTCTCTCCCTCTCTCTCTCTCTCTCTCTTTCTCTCTCTCTCTCTCTCTCTCTCTCTCTCTCTCTCTTTTCCATTAATCAGTTATCCTCTAACTCTTTTATCGAATAAAATAGATCATCAGCTTATAGTTAACATTGTTTCATAAATTGAGACATAGTCTCTCTCTCCTTTGCTCTTTTTCAATCTCACTTCCTCTGTACCCCTCTCTCTCTCTCTCTCTCTCGTGTGTGTCTAGTGTTCCCTAGTCTTGGCCATTGGGAATTGGCGCGCAGCAAACCGCACTAATTGCAATTCGAGCCATTAAACACACGTTGGCAATTATTAGCGGCTACCTTTTTAAAGCTGGCAAAACCACAGAACGTAAGCCGAAACCAACCAGTTGATAGAAAAGCAACAACAACAACAACAACAACAACAACAACAACAGCAGCAGCAGCTACTTAGGGTTAACCAGCAACACTTGCCCAAAGCAAATGCCAGGAGCAACAACTACAACTTGACTGTGGGGCAGCTGGCTTAGGGTGGGGGAAGGCGGGTTTTGGGGCTACGAAAAGCTGTCGGCATTTTGGCTTTGATGTGTATTTAAAATGTTGTCCGGCCACTTGCAGCTGCAACTGTTGAATACATGTGGGAAATTATGATTCGTTAAATGCTTCGCCGGACAAATGGCTAAACGGATTAATTAAACAGCAACACATATGCATGTGCGTGTGTGTGTGTGTGTGTGTGTGTGTGTGTGTGTGGATTTTAAGCCGCTTGTTTTCTGCTTTTGAGCTGCATATTTAAAGCCCGTTGCTGGAAACGCTTTTAATTAAGGGTGAACGCAATTTTGCCAGTTTGTTGCAAGCCTTTGCATTTGCCAGGCTTTCAACAACAACAACAACTTCGTCGATTTCTTTGACATTTTCTTTGGCAACAACTTGTGTGGCAGCAGTGAAAGTTTTGTGGCAAGTTCAAATTCACCTGAAGCCCCATCAAATCGCAATTAAGCAGGCGTTTGTATTCGTATTTTCAGTTGAGCCATTAGCATTCAATTAACAAATAAAAAAAACAAAACAAAATCAAAATCAACTGCATGTACATCCAGTGCCACACACATACACACACACACTCACACTCACACACTCACAGTACACGCATTATGCAATATGTTTGAGTATTATGAGCCAAACGTGCGGCAAAAGCTACGCGCTGCCTGGCAATTGGTTAGCAGCTGCTTAATACACACACATACACATACACGCACGCGAGCACACACACACACACACTCACACATACACATACATGCCCTTGTACGCACATGACTCGCATAAGGTTGTTATGGCATTCGCCGTCGCATTTAGTAACCGGAGCAAAATAACATAGCATACTTTTTAGGGGATGCAATCGTCTAGTTGCAACATCCGCGTCGGCTGCAATGATTGGCGCTCGGCTGCCGCAAATTGGCGACTGGGCACGCGCTGTGGCACATGCGCAGGCGCAGCTCAGCGACTGGCCTCAGCGTTACGTAACTGCAGCGGCAGCAGCAGCAGCAGAGGCAGCAGCCGAGGCAGAGGCAGCAGCAGCAGCAGCGATTCCTCAACGAAGGATGCTGCTGCCAGCAGCACAAAGCCAAGAACAATTGCCTCTGTGTGTGTGAGTGCGTCTATAAGAGTCTGTAAGAGTGTGCGTGTGTTATCGAAGTCAAGTACTTGGGCCAAAGGCCAGGTCAGATGCTCAACTGCACTTGTTGCTGACGGTACGCGAAACGTTGTGTAGCAATAAATAAAATATAATATTTTGAATAAATAAGTGCAAATTTAATACAAATTTCTTTTACTTTTGCCAGCAAGCAAACAAAAAATAATCAACAAAATGTGGCACATATTTAAATGCATTGCAATTAGCTGCCGCGCGAATGTTACCTAAAAACAAAACTTACAAAAATGCAACAAAATAACAAAAATAGAAATATGTAAAATTCAAATTGTGAACCGAACAAAGTTAAGTGCAAAGGTGAGTGCGAGTTTTTTTTTCTTGTTTTTTTTTTTTTTTTAAACAAAACTGAAAAAAAAAAACGAAAAAACCAACAAGCTGGAAGAGGAATATCTATCGCATGCAAAGATGGACGACGAGAGCGATGACAAGGATGACACAAAAAGGTGAGCACAACCACGATTTACTCATAGACTCGCACCTGCATGGACAAACATGAATGTATATTTGTATGGGCGGGTTGCACTGCAATTGACAGTTATGATACGAAATACGCAGACAATAAATTAAAAATAAATGATAAAACGCAGGTAAGTTTATTTTAGTCGGGCCCAGCCGACTGTCTAATGCTCGCCAAGAGTTCAAAACATATTGCCCGCCAAATTTAGTCAAAGATATCGATACCTTTTCCATGCCCCCGGTGGGCGGTCGATCTTCAGCGAAGCTGTGAAGCATTAATTTCGGTATGTGACCAAAAGACTCCTGGATTTTTTTAGAGAAGATCTCTGACGCACATTGCCCAAAGCCTATATACTCCTTGCTATTTGCAAAAAAGTATTAAATATAAAACAGTATTTTATCTAGCGAAAAACTGAGTAAATTTGAGCAAGCGAATTTAGTTTTTGCTTTGCCAACTCATAATCAACTAGCTGCCCCTCAGCCCAACCCTCCCACTCCCCATCCCCTTTACCACAACTAAAATCTGTTACAGTTGGCACATCTTGTACGCAAGGTTCATAACTTTAGTTAAGTGTAATTTGAGCATGATTTGATTTTTTTTGGCCAACAACCAAATCTTATGTGCTCATAAGCAATTACAATTATTTGTATGCCCCTGCAGCCGGTATTACAAGCTTGTCAGGAAATTTTCTTTAATTCCATTACGAATCGGAATATTATATTATGTGTGTGTATATAGCAGCCATGGGCTTAGCCTCTTGAAAATGCTATTCCTGTTTTGTTTTTCGACTTATCTTGAATCTATACAATGCATATTAGCCATGTCTTATTAACATTAGGGTATATCATAATTCTCTAGAACTCTATAGTTAAAAATGGATGTAGATATAAAGTTTTTGTGAGGATAATTTTTCCGATTTACATTTATTTCGTCTAAGCTCAGCAGCTACGACCTGTATTTGTCCTCCAATATATCTGTAAAATCTTATCAAATCGAAGTACTATATTATATCTTAAGAGAAAAGCTCTTCTATAAAGACCATATTTCTGTTAGGGTATTCAAAGTTCTGCGTTTGGTTTCTTGTTTCTATCTCATAATATGTCAACGTGCTGCGCTTAGCTTGTGTTTCAATAAATATATCAAATTGGTAATTCAATAGCCGGAAAATTCAGATAGAAAGAGAAAAGCAGAAGCAGAGTGATAAATAGAGGAAAATGCGCCAACTTCTGCCCATAATTAATTGCAGTATCATTTATGATTAGTATTATAGGAAAGTCTTTTAATTAAGTTAAGTATAGTGTATGAGCATGAGAGTGTGAAAACAAATATTATGTTTATATTAAGTTTTGATATTCTGGTTGGTGGAAAATGGTTCCGGTTCGCTGCGGTCGATTTCCCAATCCTGGAATTTAGCTTTTCCTTCAATATTTCTTATACTTAGATTCAAATTCTTAAGCAAATAATTCTATTTATAATTGCCCGTTGTGCTGAAAATATTGCAAGTTGTAAATATTTTCATATACAAAATGCGGGCTAAATTTGAAGCCTACACAAAATTGTCATCTACCAAATATGATTAGATGAATCTCGATTGAGACTAAATTAGTTTGAGCTTTGAGGCTGCTCGCCGATTTTCCAAAAAGCGCAGAAAGCGCTTCGCTTAAATTAGAATTCCAGCTACGCACCAATCTAGCTTAAAGCCCTATAGTCCATGCACGGTATATTAATTTTGAAAAATTTAATCTTTATTTATTAATGTTAGAAAAGCGGGTATTTAATACAAAATAACAAATCTAATCACTTAAGAAGAATACAATATTGACTAGAAAAATCAGCGTTACGATAGGGATATTTTATTTTAATAAATTAGAAAAAAGAGAGAAAAAATTAAATAAAAATAGGGCAGAGAGATATTGTTAGGCAATAAGTGACTCGATGAGATACTGATAGAGCAACAGACGGTTTGATATACTACAATTATATGGTCAGATAAAGAAATTAAAAAAAAGGGTAATGCCAATTAATTGT